AGTCCTACGTAGGAGATACTAAGTCCTACGTAGGAGATAGTAAGTCCTGCGTAGGAGATAGTATGTCGTACGTAGGAGATGGTAAGTCCTGCGTAGGAGATATTAAGTCCTACGTAGGAGATACTAAGTCCTACGTAGGAGATACTAAGTCCTACGTAGGAGATAGTAAGTCCTACGTAGGAGATACTAAGTCCTACGTAGGACATGGTTACTAAGTCCTACGTAGGAGATACTAAGTCCTACGTAGGAGATACTAAGTCCTACGTAGGAGATACTAAGTCCTACGTAGGAGATACTAAGTCCTACGTAGGAGATACTAAGTCCTACGTAGGAGATAGTAAGTCCTACGTAGGAGATATTAAGTCCTACGTAGGAGATAGTAAGACCAAAAAACATTTTCACCGTGGCCTTACTACGCTTCCGTACGATGGTGATGGCTAAAACAGTTGTGGTTTTAAGTTGGCTGTGCTTTGGCGACGTTTTTTCAGTTCAATAACGTTTTGATCGCGTTTGTAATTCTTAGGTCTAATCTGGATTTTCGCGTTCGTATTAGGCAGGTTACTGTTGGTTATGGTCCCTATAATTGATAAGATCTCTAAAGGTTCAATTCTTTCTTGGCCCAAAGGCAAACAGTAGCGCAAATAGGGTTGCGCAAAAGAGAGAAAAATGACCAGTCTTTTTATATGCGAGCGATGCGAGCAAAGATTGGCAGTGTACTTCCCTCACTTCGTTTCGAAAAATATGTTTAATATCAAAATAAAATATCGCCACCATCAAAGCCAGACACCCATTTACTCACAGACTGTGCTCTTTGATTTCCATCCTCATATTTAATAATTACCCTCGTACAATATATTTAAGATGTCAAATCGTTCTTCGCCTCGGTTACCCCTGCCAGCTTCCGGTTCAACGAAGCTTTCACACTAATATGGAAGTTTGACAACTCTCTATGTGTTACTCTTTTACATTGGCACTGCTGACATCGCTGACTTATGTAATTAATAATTGAGATGCATACATTTGGTATTAAATCGTGTATTGATATTATATGTTGATATTGGTTTCGACAAGAACAAAATCCTACTTAAACAGCTGAGTAGCTTATACAAAAACAGCCAATGTGACTTTGCGCATAAGTCTGTTAATCAAGCCGTGATGTTCTGAAAGGGCAACTCAAATTAATGAAAGCTCCTATTTTCCATGGCAGAATATACCTAAAGTGTTCCCTCGCAATCATGTTAACGTTTCCAAGTATTGCTGCTGCCTACCTCAACAATACTTTCCTCATTTCAGACGTAAGTGCTTCTTCAAGATTGGAGAAGCTGTGGTCCTGCTTGACTGATGAAACTGTCACTGATAATGAAATACAAAACGAGTTTAATTTTCGATTCCCCAAATTTATAATATTTATATTTCATCTCAAGTGCCGCACTTCGCTGGGTTCCCCAGAAACCTATGGCTACCGTACCGTTTGCCTTGAAACGAGCGATGTTATTTTATTTGTTCGATCGAGCAACTTTCTGTGCGCTTATCGGATAAAACATCTTCCAACTCGATACTTAAATATATTTTGCCAAATGTATATATACAGTACAAAGTAACATAAATATACAGTTTCATAACACAATATATTTGTGCAACATTTTGCAATATACGTTCTAATATTTGTATTATTTTGTACATGGGCCGTATGCTGAATAAAGAAACTGAATTGAATTGAATTGATACTAGTAACGTATATTCGAAGCCAAGTGTCATAATTGCATTTGTCGTTAAACCACGACTCAAGCACTTTGCTCAACCAGATTTGGATGGACGCCGTCCGGAAAACACTATGGGGCGGTGGGTAGATTTGTGTATCTACAAGTCAGTATCAAAATCGTTTCTAGTGGTTAGTACAGAGACATCGCCACCACGGAAAGGAACGTTTAGCGTTTAAACATGGCTTCCGATGCCGTTCCTGTCCGCAGCCTCACTGATTTACTTCGACAATAAACTGAGAAGTCGGGATACAACAGGCATTTGGTTCTATGCAGTGTCAAACATTTACACTTACTTTGTTCTTCACGCAGAGGTATCAGATTTGAGTAATTATATTGATTCTAATGGAATTATTTGACACCTAACGAAAGGAATCTAATCAGAGTAATTAAATGATAACTACTTTCGTCACACTACTTGAATGAGTGAGTGAGTGAACTAAGATTTAGAGTCACATCGGCAATATTTCAGCCATATCGTGACTAAAACAAAGTATAGTTCTAATACACGAAGTTACTGAAAACATTCTTTCGACAAAGTACAGTAAAACTAGCCTGTCCTTTTCAAATAACACAACAATACACGACAATACAATATAAATACGGGTTATAGGCCACCCGGTGATGGTGAGTGAGTTTAGCCAATAATCATAGGCAAAAAGATCATTCATAATTGAGGATTTGAAATAGTTATCCATTGTTATGGAAAGACCATTACATCTGCTTCAACGTAAAGACTGTCGATGAGAAAATCCAGCATTTCACGTATTGTTTTCTCTATGAATTTCAAATGACATTTGCTTGTATTTTTCACAAATTGCCTGAACCTCTGAAGATAGACATGTAGGTATATCTGTGTTCACTGCATTTATTAACAAACGCCCCATGAATGAGGGATGTAGTTTTTCCTTATGTTTGTCATGTAGGATAATTGTAAACAATGTTGGAAAATACAATGTTTTCACAGAACGGAACTCGGTTTTTCTGAGATTGTGAAAATGTAAGCAAATCCCTTGAGTTTTTGAGAATCCACATGGTATGAATTCCACATGTCTCAAACTCTTTCTGTGGATATCGAGGAAGTCCATTAAAGTTTATGGTTAATCTTTGAGACAGGGATTTGGTGGTACAATTACTGCCTGAATCTGATGTGTTGTCAATTTATGGTTGCTGTAAACTGAATACATATTAGATAATTCATTTTTAGTAAGTGAGTGAGTGAGTGTGTGTATGGTTTCACGCCGCTTTTAGCAATATTCCAGCAATATCACGGAAGGAGACACCAGAAATGGGCTTCACACATTGTACCCATGTGGGGAATCGAACCCAGGTCTTCGGAGTGACGAGCGAAAGCTTTAACCACTAGGCTACCCCACCCAGGTGCAGAAATAGCTTGGTAATAAACATGAGTAAGGAATATGAGTGATGCTTCATGGCTGACAGAAAAAGACGAATTAAAATGTTATTACGTGCACATGAGACTGAACAAACGTTTTTCAGCATGAAAAGCGTATTTTTAATGCAAATGCGTCGCTTTCCCCAATAAACCGGCGTTGCTGTAAAGTAAAGTAATGTTATACAATCTGCCATTTTAGTAATGAGGAACAGAGTATTGGAGAAACAGTGTTATCACTATCTCCCGCACAGAGGGCAGCAGATCAAACTGGCGGGTTACGACAGGGCTTGACTATTGGCATTTAAAACCATCGTTGAAATATTCGGCTTTAATCGATGAAGGGATTTCTGTAAATGTAAAGCTAAATGAAGGAATATCGTTATGCCACGACTCCCTCGTGTAAATCCATACATTGCCATTGAACGTCTGGAGGCCAGGGAGTCGTTTATAGGACCGATATATACAAATCAATTATACGCAAGATCGGCCTCTGCAGCGCAGGAGAGGTACATCCGGGTACTTCATTTGCGGAACTGAACTGTCACAGCAACAGCAACTGCACTGCCTGGTTTGGGGAGAGTGTCGGCGCAAACTATTTGTAATCGTTCACGAGAAGATGGACATAGACGAACCCCAGAAGACCCCACTTTGGACCTGTGCTGCGACGACTACATCGACATCGACGGGTCCAGTGGTGCAATAACGTTTGATTCTAGAATCTACAAAACTGGCGACGTGTATGGTTCAGGGACGAATCACGCTTCTGCTCCTCTGCCGTATCGGAAGAGTACTAATCTCTCTACGTCGAAATAAACGTTTTGTCCAGAATTGTGTCACCCAGGATGACCGATATGATAGTGGGAGTGCCATGATGTGGGGAGCCATATCCTACACACAGAACACTATCTCTATGAGCCTTCAGGGCAATTTACCTGCTGTTCGGTACAGAGACGAAATCTTAAGGATTCATTGACCGCCAGAGGGAGTTGTTCCAGCATGATAATGCCAGGCCTCACACAGTGCATGTGACTATTCAGTTTCTACAGAATGAAAACGTTACAGTGCTTCCATGACTTTCCAAATCGAGCATTTGTGGGATGACCGCGACCGACACGAACTTGAACGTCAACCAGTGCCCCAGACATTAAGATCAGCTGCCACAGGCATTGCAAGAGGAATGGGCCAGAATTCCACAAGGTGGAATTCGAACACTTGTTCAGTGCATGCCGAGACGGTGCAGAGCAGTTTTGGGGGCTCATGGTAGCCACAACAGATATTGGAGACAACGCCCAACTTGGAACGGACGCCGTCACATATTGTAACTTTTTGTAAGATGCGCGTACCAACAGAATTTCATCTTCTATACTGAGAAATTTGGCTCCAACTGATCCAGAATTACATGTGTTATCTAACTTTAAAGTAAGCAGATTGAAGTCGTGAAAATACACCTATGCGTTTCTTGTCTGGGAGAGTATATGTTTTACTTTGAGTATCTAGGTCCTAGTTTAGGACCGTGAACTTGCATGACGTTATAATTAATCATACTTAGTTATTCTGGCAATATGTTGGCCTATTTTTAAAAAATTTAACAAAGTAAATTTATACAAGAATAACACTCAGATATTGCATGCTGGATGAAAATCTTTGGACAATGAAACCTGTGACAAAGTTTATATCGGGCGACGGGAACGTCGCGTTATCATTGCTCGAGTGAGAGTTACCCTGGACAGCACAAACTGTTTGGAGAAACACACCTTGTACCGGGATGTAAACACCTGTATCAACAACATGAACTGTGATTGGCTGTCTCTGAACACATGGTCAGCGCGTGACTTGCAACACACACTGCAGCGGGTAGATTACCTGACGTGCACTCGGACCGACATTGATGTTGAGGTACGTGGTTAATGTATTTCTCCTATCAACATCTGGTAAATATTATATGGTACAGTTATCCTCACTAACTATAGGACAGTATTTGTTTGTAGTCCTATCTTGTGGAAGGGCGACTAAAAACTACCAGAGGGAACTCGGTTTGGTCATTGTCGCGATAACGCTTTACAAGATGGCGGCAGTTTGCAGCACTATCGCACCTCTTTCACTCCACAATCGCGACAAGCCACAGTTTTCGCGATATTCGACGTTGAGTCACTATAGTCACGCTATCTAGCAAAGTCTACGACAGATGTACTGTACAACTTCATTGAAATTAATACTGGCAGTTTTTTGCATTCTTGACTTTCCATGCTTGTCTGCATTTCATTTTTTCTAAATCATGCTGTTTTGTCTTTAATCCTTTCCCAAATACTGAGATGAATATTATATTTTGACTGTAAGGTTAGATGCTGATAAAATCATATCAAGCTGTCTCGCGCATGTGTTTATCACTTACTAGAACAATATCTATCAGCTAACTGGGTTACCTTGAAGGTTGCATGTTATCAAAGTGCATGCACACAGCATGGCGTGGCCATGGTCAGGCAATTGATAGAATCGGGCCTACGTTATCATCTAAGTGAAGTGAGGGTCGCAGGTATTGTTGTTATCTGAGAGTTAAAATTTAAATATCGGCAATATTTCAGCCATATCGTGACTAAAACAAGCTTAGAATTCACCATAAATAGATGTAAAGTAAAACACCTGTCATCGAAGGACAGTAAAACCGACTAGAATATCACAGTATCAAGAAATAAAACTAGCATATCTCTCTAAAATTGGATTTTAAATTAGAACAATACAGTATAAAAATGGGCTATAGATCGCCAACAACTGAAGGCAGATCACCATACCTGCAGGGACTGTTGTTATCTGAATCCAACTGTGCAGGTGTGCAACCACAGGCGACTCGATTCAGCAAGATGATACTCGTCAGGATGTCGCTCGTGTGGTGACAAATCTCCAGAGACGACAGAACATTCTAGTACTACCTTGGCCAGCTATTTCTCCGGACCTGTCCCCTATCGAGGACGCTTGGGATGAAATGGAGCATCGTTTACGTCAAGCCCAGAATCAGCAATTGACGTTAGCGTTGGTTCAGTCATGGAACAGCATTCCGTAAGATTTCTTCAATCGCTTATATAATGAATTTAAATGGATGGTTCATGACGACCCGTGTGGGAGTGATCACTTCCCTACCATTCTCAAATCAATCAACCCTGGTGATGATCCACCTTTATCGCGAAGGAACTTCGCCAGGGCTGATTGGTCATTATATAGGACACTATGTGATGATCACTTAAAACATGATGTTTTTGTGAACAGCGAAGATCCTATACAGCTGTTTTCCGATGTACTCAATGCTATTGCTGACCACACTATCCCCAAGTCCTCTACAATTCCATATATTCGTAAACCATGGTTTACTAATGAGTGTAAACAGGCCAGAAAGAGTAGGAAGGAAGCTGAAAAGTTTTTTCGCAAACATCCTACAGTCCATAATTTAGACAAAGTTAAAATTTTAAATGCCAAGCATCGACGCGCATTTAAACAGAATAAGCGTCAGTCTTGGAGGAACTATAAATAAATTCCAAAATAAATTCACGTACACCTATGTCCAAGGTGTGGAACATGGTCCAAAGAATAAAGGGCAAAGGTTCTAAATCTACTGTACACCATCTGAAGGATGGTAATAATCTCTTAACTCATAAAACTGACATAGCAAATAAACTTGGCGTAACGCTTGCCAAACATTTTTCGTCATCAAATTATGTCCCTGAGTTTCAAAAACACCAGAAACAACAGGAGAAGAAAAGAATCAATTTTAACTCAGACAATGGTGAAGATTATAATGAATTATTTTCACTACATGAGCTACATACCGCTCTTGGGCAGGCTCATGATACAACAACAGGGGCTGATGATATCCACTATCACTCCTAAAGCATTTGCCCGAATCGTGTTTGGAAACGCTGCTAAATATATTTGATATGATATGGACTACAGGGAATTTCCCAACTTCCTGGCGTAATGCCATTGTAGTCCCGATTCCAAAACCTGGCCGGGATCATACTGATCCGTCTAATTACAGACCAATCTCTTTAACGAGTTGTGTCTGTAAAACCATGGAACAAATGGTAAACAATCGATTAACATGGTATCTTGAAACCAATAACCTTATCACAAATATCCAATGTGGTTTCAGGAAAAATCGTAGTACCATTGATCATCTGGTACGTTTAGAATCCTTTGTAAAAAATGCTATAGTAAATAAACAACATGCAGTATCGATATTCTTTGATCTCGAGAATGCATACGATACTACGGAAGCGTAGCAGGGCCACGGTGAAAATGTTTTTTTGGTCTTACTATCTCCTACGTAGTACTTAATATCTCCTACGTAGGACTTAATATCTCCTACGTAGGACTTAGTATCTCCTACGTAGGACTTAGTATCTCCTACGTAGGAGTTAGTATCTCCTAAGTGGGTATCTCCTACGTAGGACAAAGTAGTATCTCCTAAGTGGGTATCTCCTACGTAGGACTTAGTATCTCCTACGTAGGAGTTAGTATCTCCTAAGTGGGTATCTCCTACGTAGGACAAAGTAGTATCTCCTAAGTGGGTATCTCCTACGTAGGACTTAGTATCTCCTACGTAGGACATAGTAGTATCTCCTAAGTGGGTATCTCCTACGTAGGACTCAGTAACTCCTACGTAGGACATAGTATCTCTTACGTAGTACTTAATAATTCCTGTAGGAGATGATCGATATACGTTTATATAAATTAAACTGAAACGGTCGACTTAAATCCCCAGACACGCACACAATCTCCTGTTTCACTGTCTCGGTCACTGTGAGAGTCTACAGCCATTCGTTTCATTCACTATTAGAGTCTACAGTTATGTGTTTCATTTACTGTTAGAGTCTACTATCATGTGTTTCAATTTACTATTAGAGTCTACTGTTTCCTTAACTATTAGAGTCGTGTGTTCAACTAGTTGTTGCGCATTACTGTGTTGGACCGACTGTTATACTTTACTGCCTTGCGTTCAGTTTACTATTACGCGTTGCAGTTAGTTCACTGTTATATGTTGCACTTTGTTACACTTTACTATTATGCGTTGGATATTTCAGAGGTCGTTGCACATGAATCATAATCTGCGTGTACAGACGTGTCTTAGACTATTGGTGGCAATCTATGCGTACGTATCCTGTTATATTTATACAAATAAATATAATGACAATTCTTTGCCTTTTTGAATTTCGTATTGTTTTACGCCGCACTCAACACTTGTCCATCCCAGTCAAGTCAACCTGTAAACAATTACGAAAAAAGCCGCAAACGAGCGTTGCATCCGATCAAACCTAGCCTCATCAAGACAAGCAACAACTTGCGGAGGTCGTGTTATAACCCGAGTTTCATATCACAACCTCACCCCAACCATCCCACCCCTACGAAGGAGATATTAAGTACTGCGTATGAGATAGCATGTCCTACGTAGGAGATAATATGTCCTACGTAGGTGATACTAAGTCTTACGTAGGTGATACTAAGTCCTACGTAGGAGATAGTATGTCCTACGTAAGAGATACTAAGTCCTACGTAGGAGATAGTACGTCCTACGTAGGAGATAATATGTCCTACGTAGGTGATACTAAGTCCTATGTAGGTGATACTAAGTCCTACGTGACCGCCTCTGTGGTGTAGTGGTTAGAGCGTCCGCCCGGAGAGCGGAAGGTCGCGGGTTCGATCCCCGACCGCGTCATACCAAAAGACGTTAAAATATGGTACTTGTTGGTCCCTGCCTGGCGCTCGGCATTAAAGGGGGAAAACAAGGACTGGTCGGCTTGGAGTCAGTATAATGTGTCTGAGTGGGGTATTCATGCTTCACTGCGGCATGGTATCTCAGTGGGCTAGCACTATAAAAACAGCTTCAGTCTGGGCTAGTACAAGCAGCCGCACATACACATACACACGCATGCACGTCGTCATATGAGCGAAATATTCTCAAGCACGACGTAAAACCCAATTTCACCTCACCTCACCACTAAGTCCTACGTAGGAGATACTAAGTCCTACGTAGGAGATAGTATGTCCTACGTAGGAGATAGTGACCCCAAATATGTTTTCATCGTGGCCCTACTACGCTTCCGTACGTTTGTAATGAGTAAAAATATAAATAAATATTTATTATATTGGGATGATTAGTCACCCAATAAAGAAATTTAATCTTAGGGTTTATAGCTTTTCCCGACATTACAAAAGATTATTATACTGGTATCCTGTAATAATGTACCCTATGTGCACAAATTAACTGTTTATACTTCTAAAGCAATACACTTGCGCTATTGTGTGTTCATTGATTTATAGTGAATGTTCTCTCTCTGTAACTTTGTAATGCAGAATGGACTTGTGGCCAAGAAATAAAATTAAAATAAAACTGCTAGTCATTTAAATTATTCCAGGTTTTTTTTACATCAGTCTGAATGAGTGTGGGCCAGACATTCCAGTGATTGATAAAGTGAACAGTGATCCACGGTCGTATTCTGGGTAGGATGACACGTCATGCATGAAGTATTTCCACCTCTCAAGGGCACTTCCCTCTTGACCCCTGTTGTCTTAAGACACTTGGTAAGTCCCTGTAGGTCCCCGACTGGCTGTGTCGTGCTTCACGCTAACTCCTTGTGGTAGGATTAGCTGTTAGATCTCGCTAAGCATGGCAGCTTACAGGGTCAGGTGTGAGCAGCCGACTAAGTGTTATCGTTATGGATCGCTACACCATGTAGCTCTGGTAAATCCCATACCTACTGAATGTTGTTGGGATATAGTTTCTGTTGTAAAAGTGCATTTCTTATAGTATGCTTGAAGGTCTTCAATTTTTGTTCCGCGTCTGGACCAGAAAATCTAGTGATCAACATCATGAACATCGATCAACGCAGTTGGGATACGAAGACATT